TTATTTAACTGTTTGGTCACTGTGTAAAATGTAATAAAACAGAATGAAATGCAAATCTCAAAAATGCACATTTTGTTAACAACAAAACAATAAAAAGTTTAAATTAAGACAATATCAGAAAAAACATCTTGTAAAACGTTGTAATGGGGCAACAGAAAGATATAAAGTAAATACTACGAACAGTGTTAATTTTTGGAAGCAGGTATACTTCATACTTTTGAGTCGCAATAGTGACTTTTCCCATATGTTTGCATTCACACAGGGCATTGTATTTATTTTTAATACAATGGGACTTTTTTTTATTAATAAGATCAGTAAGAACATTTTTTTGTATTAAAACAGTGAAAAACACTAAACTTAAAGCAACTTAGATTAAAAAATTGATCAAACTAAAACAAAATTGTCAAATATCAACTATTTTAATCTCTTTATTTTTTACACAAATAATCAGCGGAGATCAATAACAAAAGCAATTCAATGAATATAACAGTCCAGAACAAAATTACTGCACAGGGAAATCAAAGTAAATAGACTTATATTTACTTTTAAATAGGAGCTTTCCAAAAATGTTTGTGCTCAGTTGTATCTATGGTTGAGCAATGAGCAGCCAGCCTGTCTGCAGTTCAGTCTCTTAACTCTGAGACTTTTCAGAGACCTAGTTTTGATTGTTTATGCTTTTTCTATAAAGCTCAATGTTTGGGCTTTATTTTTCACCATGCACCAAAGTCTGCACTGCTCAGTGGAGTAGTTACCATCACTGCGTGAGGGTGTGTAACACTTTTCAGCTAGATTTATACTTGACGGAGTTGATGCATTGAACTGGGTTGACCCCATCTATTTCCACTGGTTATGTAGAATACTGCCATACCACCTGTCTTTTCTTGAGACACAATGCTCTGCTTATTTTTGTGGTTATATGCAAATCCAAGAAATTTTTAAAGTGGTTATACAGTTTATGCCTGCTTATCTCGTAGACTACACCATTGGATACGAATAAGAAACAGCTGGAAACAGAGAAAAGGCCAAATATCMTAGATATAAAGATGAATGGAGGTTCAGCAGACTGAAATTTTGAATCTAAAAATGATGAAACAATTTTAGAATATTGTTTTTTTATAGGAAATTTGAGAACATTCCATCACCTACAGCTCATAATATTGTTAAATGTTATAAATAACCTGGATAATTTTACAAAAATTTTACAAAGGGTCAAAATCCCTCAGAAATCGGGATGTAGGTTTTCTTGAGATAGCACCTGCTAATCAGGGCTACAGGTGATCTTCATGTGTCTCCTGCTGAGGAGGTTTGTGATCTTTGAACAAAACCAGTGCAAACTTCCAAAAAAAATTCTAGAGCATTGCACATTTCGAAATCAGTTCAAGGTCCCCATGACTGATTCTATGTAAGTCAACAAAAACAGTCATTGTAGAAAAGGATACTTTGAATGCTTTAACCTCAATTTGCAGCTGAGTGACAGAAAAAAGTAATAATAGGAGCCCATTTTGAGGTCCTCAGCCAAAATCTACAGGGGCACAAGTCATGCTGCTTCAACGACAACAAACCGCAGCCTCTGAAACCTTTGAAACCCTGTGTGGTCATTTTCTCTCACAGCGTCTGAAAAGAACTGTGGTGGGTAGGAAAGAAAAAAGAAGAGCCCCTCGCCACTCATAATACCAATCCTATGTATGTAGATGAAAATGGAAAGGAGGGGTGCGGGGGTTAGAGGGGAGGAGGGGTGGCTAGCAGACCAACTAAGGCACAATTTTAAAGCGCTTATTGAATTGCCATTACAGCTCCTGAGACTAATTGTGGCTGTTGTGTGTATCTTGGTGGCCTAGGGGGCTCTGGAGTGGCCCTGTATGCTCTTACTCAGTGGGGTTTTCAAACCGAGTGGCCCTGAAAGAGAACAGGACCACCGTAGATCAATGGCAAACCTTTCACTCTTTCATGGGCCCTTGCTAATCCTCCTCATTTGTCTGCCATTTGTTGAGGCACATTCACAGCTCCCTGAATTTAAGATTAGAGCGTGTTTTGTTACAAAAACAGCCCGAGTTGTAACGCTGAATAGATGGACTGAAGGGCGGATGATGGACGAGTGTGGATGTGAGTTTTTAAGCATGGGTTGCATCAAGTGTACACTATGTTTATGATCAAAATTTGGGACAACAAATGGTAGAGATTTTTTTTTCTGCTTTTCAAACACCGCAGGTTGCAGAAAAYGTCTAAGCCTTTAGACTGCACCAAATGAACATCTTATAAGAACGTGTTTTATTTAAAATATTTGACACAAGCACTCATGTGAAATGCTAATTTTCCAGATGCAAC